TTTTGAATTGTGGAATAGAGCGGATAGCATTTAGCTTATCTTAGAGTACAGGAAGGTTATAGAGCACACAGAAGACTCATAAAAACACAATATTTCGTCCCCTGGGGGACTTTGTCAAGTGTAGAGCAATAGAAAGAAGTTGATGGTTTATTCTACTTCTTCCTTCTAAAATACCCTTTGATGGGTGAATTATCAAATTAACAGTGCTGTAAAGTTTGGTGTGCTATCATCTGCATGGAGTTTCTTTGTTGGTGTATCCTCCTCTTCTTCCTTGATGTATTCCTTAGCAAAGAGCAGGGGTGGCTCCAGGAATATTTTTTTGGGTAGGCCTGACAAGGACCAAGAAAGAGTTTGATCGGGGACGAGAGGTTTGAAGGGCTTCCCTGCAAAAAGGGAAATTAAAATATACATGCAAAATAATTAGTTTGAATGCTTTCCCTTTATTTACATATTCTTAAATTTCTTTACTTATTTATAATTTTGAAAAGTCTACCAAAATTTTGGGTCGGCCTGGGCGTACCTGGCCTGCCCTCTGGAGCCGCCCTGGCAAAGAGCTATTTTCTCAAAACTGTTATGGTAATCTTATTCAAACATATGCAAATTTAGATGATGAACATGAGAATTATTATTGAGTGTACAAAATTATTTTAAGCATACATAAAGATATATCCCTACCTGCGCAGGGTGGGAACGAACGCTCCGTTGTTGAGTATCTGAGGAGGAGAGTTGTATGTTGGTGGAGCAGCTGTAATTACTCCATTCTTGGAGTATCCATTCATTGTGATGAGACGGAGTTTCTGCGATTGGGAATAACTCTAGTCTGTAAAACAGTAAATGTTTTAGGATCCTGTATAGTACAATTCTGAAAATTATTCTAGATGAGTTTATGATGAGTAGATGAGTTAGCTCATTGTATGTGTGGGTATATAAGGACAGTGAAGTAAGAGTGTCTTATTATGGTATATGGTATATAGGTATTTAAGTGGTGTATGGTTATGGTATGATATTGTTATTTACATCATATGTGAAGCTGGTGGTAACTGCAGGGACATGAGATTCAAACTAGCTGTATCTGGCTTATTGTGTTAAGGTAACACTGATTAACTACAAGTTCTGTAAAAACTCAAATTATATTTCTTTTTTATTTATTAAATAGCTTTTTTGCTTGTAAAATTTAAAGCAGGCATAATACCATCCAATTTAGAAAATGGGAAATTAAAACTTTAATAGGTAAACATTCATTTCCTTGACTCTAAATAGTTTTGGTGAATATGAACCGTATAAATGAGGAAGGTTTAACTACAATTCATTTCACCAATGAATTTACCCTTATCACCATTATGCACTGCTAGCTCAGTAAGTGGTATTTACTTCCATGATAAGTCTTTGAAAACCCTATTCCTATTACTAAACTTAATTGATTGAGAATAGTTAAATTATGTTCCAATTATCTTTGACTGCTATTTTTACGATAAATCATATAAGACATCTATACACATTCAGTGTTGTTGTCGGTTTCTAGTAGATTTGCATTGATGTCACCTATACAAAAATAGGTTTTGTGATTTGTTTTGTTCTCATATTTGTCGAGAGGGTTAGTAAAGTTGTCCAAGTCACTGTGGTGAGTCTTGTACACATCAATAGCAGATTACACCACTTATCTTGATAATCAAAGTAAAGTCCCAAAGTACATTCAAAGTACATTCAAAGTCAAAGTACATTCCCAATTCATAAACCTTTCATTCACTCTCTCACTCACATACATCAAAACCCCATCATTTTGATTTTCACTTTAGTTTTTCAAAACAGTTTATACCCCTCTAAATGCAGCAGCTCCCCTTAGGACGTTTCCCAGACCACAATAATACAAAATCTTAAAACTACAGATTGTAATAAAATAAGAAGTAACTCTAAATTTTTAATGTGATGTCGGATGTTCATGAAAACATAAATATTTCTTTCCATATCCTGTAGTCTGAGCAAACAATAGAATGCAAATCTCAGCATGACTTAAAGCAGGATTACTTACTTGTTTAATTGAACAATCTATACTGACTTTTACACTACAGTATTTAAAGAAAGCTAAGATACATTCTTCAAAAATATCCCTTTACTTGAAGATGAAGATACTGTTTAGTGAAATGTAATGAGAGCATTTCAAGGTGCAAAGAGAATACTCAGGAACTGTTGACAATTTGGGTACTCTTCAGCCTTGGATAGAATATGAGCCATGACAGATGCTTAGTACTGATTCATCCCAGTACCTTGGAGTATGCAGTGTTTTTAATTGTATGGAGCGGGTAGGAACTGAATGTGTTCACAGGTGTTGGTAGGTTGGTGAAGCTCAGAGAATTTTGTAATGACCGAAGAATTTTCGGAGCAAAGATTTTTTTTGTTTATGCACAATCAAACTATTTTAGGACGAGGTGGTTGAGAAATAACTTGAGTAGGGTTATGGAGTGGGTAGATTAGGCATATTGGTTTCAGATAGAGAATGAGGAGGACAGAGATTTTTGTGCACACCTCTGTCATTATTAGAAATATAGTTAAAAGCCCTAAGTTAAAGAAAAATAAATTGTACAATATATAAAAAAGCATTTCCTTTGTTGGGTAGCTAGGATGCTACAAGAAATGTTTATATCCCTTTGCCTGCTTAAAACTCAAACTAATCATCATTATGAGATCCTCCTGTGTGCAAAACACAACAATAGTTATTTGTGTAGCTAGTGTGCAAAGTGGCACTTTGCACCCGTGTTACACATTATAAATTTTTTCAGATACTATAAAGCATAGAAATAATTAGTCTTTTCTATTAAACACTAAAAAACTTGTTTTAGGTTAGATTAAATCCAAGTGTTGAACAAAATGGGAAACACTGCATCGCTGATCTTAGTTGTATTATTTCGAAGTGTTGCCAACTAATTTTCAAGCGTACACGTATTACGTGTCTAATAAAAGCACAATGTTTTTTGTTGTTTGGTTGGAATACTCGAGTGAGGCAAAAAAAAAATTAGTGCAGCAAAATTAAAATGAGTGCGGCAAAAGCAAGTAAAATGCAGCGATTAGCTACTTTGTGTGCTATAATCAGTACAAGAAAGTCTGCCTTGTCAGGTAATTGTAGGAAAAAGAAGTAGATGGTACTCACCATGTTTAGATCCCGAAGCCTCCGTAATACATCTTTTTCTTCTCTCCACGTGGAGTATAGAGATTGAACACAGATCATCCCAGATACCTGAAAATATCAAAGACAAATTCATTTTCCTAAAAAAGTTACGGAGATTACTGTGAATTTTATTGCTAGGGCAACACATTGAGTTTATAACGTAAAGAGGAATTGAATTAAGACTTTAATGACGGAATATAACTAGAAAAACTGAACTAAACTTTACAAGTTTAGATGTGGGTTCTAGCAACGTACCGACGAATATGATAACAATTAAACTATAGGTTGGCCGGACAGATAGCGACCTGCGCGAGCATTTATCGAACATGTAAGAGGAGGTCGCTTTCTAAGCGGCCGACCTATAACCACAATTTGTCAGATGCTGTTCAATAGAGTCGAGATGGTAATTGGAATTCAGATTCCATACGCGGATCATAAATTTTTCTACAGCAGACATTTTTTATTTTACTTATAAGGCTATGCTCATAACCCATGGACCTGCAGAGTCTCCTAACATTAAATTCTAACCCAACTAGAACCATATTTAAGTTTTCAGCCCTTCTAAGTACTTTGGTCATTGGACCGTTTCTAGTCCTACTTATTTTCACATCATTTGGTGAATATGAATATACATCACACCTTAAACTCTGCGCTTAAGGCATGTGGGCTGGTTATAAAATATGGTACCCAATACTTATGACTTTTACTTATGATAGTAAAACTATCCAAATTGTAAGAGAAACATTTCGGGAATCTTTGTCACTTACATTTACAATGGCCCGGCAAATCCAGCATGTGAGTTCCATCAAGCCATAGAGTGAACGGATATTCTGAAAGGATTAAGATAGTGCAATTAATATCAAATTGTTAAAATAACATTCAAATAAACCATGATCTAATATCAACTTACAATATAAGGTTAGTTGTAAAGGATGACGTGGCTCTAAATTAGCCTGGTTGAATAAAGATTTTTAAAAATTTCATTTCATTTTTATTTTAAACCAAGGTGTAATTGACTATTATACACCTTTTCTAACTATACACCTTTTCTGACTATACAGCTATTTTCTGTATAAATTCTCTGATGAACTAAATGTATGGTACAATACAATACAATACAATGATCTTTATTTACATATTCTTTGAGAACAGTACATGCGTCAGAATAATAACTAAAATTTGTGGATTTAATATGTTGTTAAGGTACTCATTACGTTTTGTAACTCTACATATGAACTGTATCTACATTTTGAGAGTTATTTTTTTTTTTTTACTTGAGACTAACTAATTAAGCCCCAAGTTTACAAGCTACTTGCCGGCTTTTTTACATGCAGCTCGTAAACTAGCTCAGTGTGAACGACATACTCACTCAAATCTGCTTTTATAAAAGCTTTGGAAAAATTTGATTCTGCGGCTACTTTACACGCCTACTCGCCAGCTTTTGAGCAGGCCAACGTGTAAAGTTGCCCAGAGTGAAAACGCAGATGCTTGTCCTTGAGTGCATATTATTCGTAGATGTCGGAGGAGTTGGCTCTAGCGGGAGTTGTATTCGTAGCAAAAGTGATTAAAAACCAATTGATTAGACGGCAAGATGAGAAACAAAAAAGGAGGAAAGTACGATTGAGACAGTGGATAGGAAGACGTAGGGATTATGGTGCATTAAATAAATTACTAGAGCTGAAGAATGAAGACACTGCAGCTTATAGAAATATTTTAAGAATCACAGGTGATCAGTTTGATGAGCTACTGGAAATGGTTCTGGAAATGAATTTTAAATGTACTCAAACACCAACACAAATCAACACAACCAGAAATCACAGTAAAAAAACACCCAAGTGGTCTGAAAGCTAGCTACTGATCGAGTGGAAAAAGCATCGTGTGAATGACTACAAGCGCACTCGCTAATTCGCCGGCTTCTTAAATGCTGGCGTGTAGCTTGTAAACTCACCCCTTGTGAAAGCGGCTTTATACTTTCTGTAGTGACAGTAATAAGGATAACATGGCAAACAGGCACACTGATTTTGAGCCTCGACCCTTATAGTCAATGATTTTAAGTCTGGAGCCTTCCTAGAACTCGTACGATTGGATAAAACCGAGAACAAATAGAAACATAGTTGTTATCATTCTAGGAACATGAATTTATCATAAAGCCTTTTAATTCATGTGCCGGTCTACACATTTTATAAACGGCAACATTGATTTTGAAGTTGATAACCCGTTGCAATTTAGATTTTATTTATCATTTCACAGAGGGCTGATTTAAATACGTGGACCCAGTGGGCCCAGGAGCGCAAGAGGGTTTAGGTTTTTTGAAAGAGAAAGATTTCCCAGGTATGGTAGGAGGGTTGTAGAGAGGGGTGCAATTATTACATGCAAACCATGAGCCTGACTTCAGAAGAATTTTACTTCTTGTGCACAGGAATGTTTTCCTTTGTTTCACAGACTGATTGTGTAATGCACTGTTTATCCTGAATCCCAATGTACATTTCCACTGTAACGTATTTGGTTATATCACAGAAATTTTTATTCAGTTTTGGGTTTGCGTGGTGGATACACCCACCGTGCTGCTATGTGTGTCAATCCATTATTATTTCAGTGAGGGGCTCACAGTCAGTGTATGAGACAGCTAAACTGTGTTAGGTTTTATATTTTATAATATCAGAGTATCATCACAGAGAAGTAAGGTACAGGGGAAACATTAAATGGTGTCTTAAGTAGTGTGTAGCACTATTGCTGGTGTAGCAAAGTACAACAACTCTCCTCTCACCATCATTTACTACAACTCTCACGGTGAAGAAAGGCCCTGTGCGATAGGAATTATGGCATGATATTCGCTATTTGCTGTTCAAGCTCTTCTTTGCTTGTCACAAGTATATTTCCAGAACGATATATCAGAGCTGAAAGCGCACGGTCGTCCCATAAGCATTCCTCTGTACCTTACTTCTCTGGTATCGTCCACTTACCCAATAGTGAATGCTCATGAAGTAAACAAGAAGACCTTCTGGGACCGTCAGGGCAGCAACAACAAGAAGCCATTCTAGCAGGAACAGGGTATTTCTCTACATCAGAGAATCAAGAACTTATTTGTGAATATAAAAGGCAGAACAATTTAAAGATTATTGGAAGTTTAAAGGTCAAAAAGTTTCAAAATTTTTTTGAAATACAATTTAGCGAGTTAAATGAGTGGTTATAATTAAAATAAACGGATCATTAACATTAATGTGAATGAAAACTGAGATATGTATGTATGGATAAGTTTCTTCTAGATCGAACTATTCACCCAACCCCACCCCACTGGCTCTACAATTTTCAGACCATTAATGATTACTTAATGATTTCAAATACTAAGATACACAGGAAAACTAAACTATACATTGATAACATGATTAAACATTAAATTAGCTATTATAGTATCTGGCAATAAAACTTCTGTTATTGGTTTAACGTTTTTAATTGGGGAATGAGCGCAAGTGCGCAAGTCCCAGGCCTGATGTTGTACGACATGTCTCACCAAACATCTACCAACCAGTCTCGCGATACATGTACGATACACAGATGATGTCTCAGACATGTATCGCAAGCAGTGTGAAAGCTCTGATTTAATAATAGAGGTACAACACTAATGTGTAACCAGCCTAAATCTATTACAAAAACAAACAAAAATTACTTCCACACTGGAAATTTGACCACTATACCACTAAGTAAACTCTCATACAAGATTACTAGCTCCCAATGGGATTCTTTCAACAACTGTTAACACAGAAAGATACAGGTAACACTTACAATAGATAAACCTCTCAGTAAGATGCCAGAGAAGACAGATACCATGAGGTACCCAGCACAGAGCACATAGGCCGGGGAAGGAAGAGAAACTGAAAATAGAACATAGATCAGGTTCATTCGATCTTTTAAAAAGAACACTTTGTAGAAGTAAGTGCCAATCAAGCCAAACTTTTTCAGAAAATGTATAAGAGTTTGAAAGATCAGTGAGAAATTAACTATTGAGCTGTGGATCCCAAAATTATAAAATGTGTGTTTTAAGCAAATTTATATTGTTGTCATGTTTTAGTTTTATAGTTGGATCTATGAATAAAATAGTTTACTACGTTTGGGCTCCTTCAACTTTACCTAATGTTTTGTCAAGTCAAACCTCAGAAGTGTGCTAAAAGATGTCAAGAATAGCAATGGTAACGTATTGAAAATACCCCCGCCGCAGCTAACCTGCTGTCTAAGCGAATTTCCATTTGGCTGAATTGCTTTTCAATTGATCTATTTAAATAAAATTAGGTTTAACGAGTACCTAGGTTTGCTGCTACAAGGAAACTAATAAAGTGTGTGTTTTAAGTAAAATAATTATTGCTTAGTATAAAATGAATATATTTGCCAAGTTTGATCAAAAGATATCCATAAACAAGCAAACTACAACATTTTACAATATTCTCCATAAGAATAACATGGGGATTTTAAATTTACAATTTTTTTAGTTTTCTCCGTAACCAATAACCGTGCAAAAACACTTTGATATACTGAATTGTTTGTTTTTTTAAGCTCTTTAAGAAGAATTAGAGGAAAATTGGGAAATTTTGTGTTTTGAGGGTCAAAAGTGAGAAAAACCAATTTTTACCCCATAAAACCCCCCATAAAACCCTGTTCCCATGGTCCGATCATGCTGGATCGCGAACTCATTCAAGTTTATCCCGCCTTACACCTTCAAACCAAATTTCATCAAAATCGGATAAAAATTACTCAAGTTATCGTGTTCACGGACACATATATATATATATATAAATCTATATATATATATATATATATACATATATAAAAATTTGAACAAATGGTGTTTTTGGCCTCTGGGGACATCAAAATGAAAAAGTAAATCGGTCCCGGGCCTAAGTCTTACCATGAGACCTACGGTAATAGCTACTTCCCTATAGGGAAATTCGCTAAAACAAGAATTAAATATAAAAATAAGTCATGCAGTGCATAGGTGGTTTGATTTAATCTCTAAAATCAACGCTATTGTCTTGGAATTATTATTATACATAGTGTTTTTTTTTTTTTTTTTCACTATTTATACTGATGCCTCATGATGAGCCATTTTTTGTTGATCAAGATAGACTCAAACCTTATATTTAATTTGAAATGTTATGTAAAATATCCTATTTCTTTATGCTGAATGGCCAAATAAGTAATTAAGAACTCTTCCATCAGTACTCATTTACACAGCTGGTAAAAAACTTTAGTAAACAAGTTAATTTCAGAGAAATATAAAACAGTGGTGGATATAGAATATCTGTAGGGGGGGGGGGGGTGAGATTAATTTAAGCTTAGGTTAAGTAATTTCAAGTAGACACTCCATGATAATTTATCTCAGTTTTGCTGGGGTAATTTGCGCTAAATGTGACATTTACTTTACCACAGAATCACGCTATATCAGTATATGGTTCCATTAAATCATAAAAATGTATCTATTCAAGCCAAATTAAGAAAATACAGTAGAACTCTGATTATCCGAATCAATTGGGACCAGACCCCATTCTGATAATTAAAAAATTGGATAATCGGAGTTTTGCAGGAATTCCGGGAATTTCCAAGAAAAATCCTCATTTTTAGTTTTAAATTAACTTTTAATGGAAGCCATTATGTTCAACGTACAAGTTTGAAATGAAAACTACATATATAATATAAATATGGGTATTTCTTGGGATAAATGAAATCAGAACATTTTTACAGTTTACAACCCTCATAGCACAAGTGTTCTATACATGTTCTTAAGTTAATAGTGTTCTATCAAAGTCCAAAATTACACACTGGCTAAATTTGTTTAATAATAATTCTTTGATATTTTGTGTAACTTTTTATTACTGTAGCTTTACGTTTTTAAACTTGTTGAACTAAAGTGATTCGGATAATCGGCGATTCGGTTAATTGGAGTTCGGATAATTGGAGTTCTACTGTATCTCAATTACTAAATCAAAAAACATTGGTCAAGATTTAACAGTGTGTCATCTCATCTGTAAACACTTATCCGAACCTAAGGAGTGAAATACGCGATTGTGATTATCATCTTCGGAGGGGTCCTAACTACTGTATAATTATTCTTTTGTGCGAACTGCAAAACGTTAACATTTCAGTACAATATGTCGAACACATGTAAATAACAAACAATAACAATGGCTACCACTGTTGAACTGACTGAGACTGGACTCATCATTACTCCCCTAGCTCCCCTGTCGCCAGTAGATATGCTGGTCTCCAGCGGTCACTGCTGCAAGCGAAGATAGCCGGGTGGCAGGCAGGAGTATGAGTTGGTCCGAATCAACCCGAACTCGCACAAACTATCACTGTCTGCCAGGGTGATAAATTTGCAAATGCTTTCATGATAAATAATTCATATTATGGTGCCTATTTTTTCTTCAAATCCATTATTTGGGGGGGGGGCAGGCCCCCTGGGCATATTCGCCCCTGTTATAAAGTAGAAAAATCAAATCAACATAGACTATCCATAACTTTTATGAAGCAAACAATGTTGTAACTTTAAATTCAAGAACATAGAATCTTTTAAAATACTATAAAAGAAACAAACGTTTTAGACTTGTAAAATGTTGAAATTTGTGTTTGTTGTTGCTGAGAAAAGACGGAAATGAAATGTGGCTGTCAGTTCATTAGACTAATTACAATAGTTAACAATCTGGTATAGGTCTGTGGAAGCGATATAGATTAGCAACTCTCTAATGGCTTACATATAGTCAGGAACAAATAATGTCTATGATTCGTTTTCTAAATCATGAGATACTCATGGGCTACCTAGAACACCTTTATGATTTCTTGGATATTTATTTTTTTTATTACTTGAAAATCATTGGTTTAGGAATTTAAAATGACTTTTTTGGTAGGGTATCCTCAATAGAGAACTCTCCTCATCTAAAAAAATTGGACCTACAGTTAAAGGCTCCTGAAACCTAATGTTTGTGCTAATGCTAATCACATGGAAAATTGCAATTGGTGATTGGTAAAATTTGAACCCCAGATCTTTAGATTAAAAGTCCAGCGGTCTAACCACTAGACTATTTATGGCCACTTGCGAACAGATTAAAGCTTAGGCGCTCAACATTTTATCCTGGGGGACTAATCAGTATCTAGTTCCAAGAGTTGGAGGAAAAGGCTCTGTCCCGCCAGAACTATCTTTTAAAATACCACCGTCGCAGAAAACCTGCTAAAAGCAAATTTCCATTTGCCTGATTACATTTTTACTAAAATTTCCACTTAAACATATCATATTTATTCCTCTTTTAAATCAGTGAAAAAATTAATCCGTCCCGGATCTAGGTCATCATGAGACCTGCAATAATAGCTACTTCCCTATAGGAAATTTGGTAAAATAAACATTTGAAACATACTTTTTAATGCTACAATATGGGTATTTTTAAGCCTTTCAGAGCATATTAAATTTAAATTCAGTTTTCTCATGAGAATTTTTTTAAGGTCCCCAATGCCTTCCCTGTGGGATCAAAGTGTATCTTTTAGATGATTTTTTATTAATATCCTTTAATAATTTTCCCTGTATTTTGGTCCACCCATCATTGTGGGGTTGGTAACAAAACAGTTTTTAAATTGAATTCATTTGCAATTGACTAGAGTTCGATCACATACATAATTATTGGGTGGAACAACGTACAGACAGTAATGGTAGTAATTTCTGACATACCGGTACCAAGTTAGAAATATACCCTTTCAAATCTTATGCAATCGTACGTTTCAGAATAACCTTGATTAATCGATAATCAAGCTTTACAGTGGCTTTAAAGTAGTCCAGTAGTTGAATATATGACTCAGATGCATAGAGTAGTTTAGTAGATGAGTCATTGCTCAGTCATAGCTAACATCAGGAGGCACTACCTACTACTGCTTCGTGCTACCTATGCACCTGTGGTTTCAGTGAACTCTTGGTGGGATCAACTGGGTTCACTTTCAAAAGGTCATTCACCTTTCTAATGATAATTGAGAAATGTCCAATAAACAGAAAGCAAAATAAAAATCTATATCTTTTAACGAAGTTCCCTTACAGGGAGCTTTACCAGTTCTCAAGGTGAGATCTGAACCTGAGACTGATTTGCTTTTGAGTTTTGATGTGATCACCAAAACTACTGTGATAGCAAAACCACTATCCTATTTTTCTTATTTTTGACCACCAAAATGTAAAATTTTACAATTTATTTCAAAATTACTTTGTTGAACTATTTTGTTGAACTTTTATAGAAATAAACAAATTTGGCTTATTCATTTATTTCATGCTAGCTATAAACATTTCACGCTATTACCTTCCCTGTGCCTAAGTGTTCATTAAAATTAATGTTATTTAAGTAGGGAACAAATAGGGCAATGTTAAGAGAATATTTTAATGGGACAAATGAAAATCTGCTTAGTCTACAGTTTTGCTGCGGGGTAGGCCTATTTTTTTTAGAAATATTATGGACAAGGGAATATACTTTATATTATCAATTCAAGTGATGTATTTTAATACATTGTGAAAAGTTAATAGTTTATTTATATTCTTTCTCCCCTTGCATAGTGATGACATTTGATGACACACTTTTAGTAGTCTCCAACTATTATATAATATAATCCTGTTCTTGAGTTTTGGATTAACACTTACAGAAACCCCAGTCTGACAGGCCCATGGGAACAAACTGTTTGCAACACTGTTTACTAGGGGGGTTCCATTCCCCTAATACCTTCCCCCTTTTTCCTCCCCTACCTGTGCCCAGGATTTCAGTTTGCGTGTTTCTCAGCGGGGTCCATTATTTTCAAATGGAGTCTCACAGACCAGGGGTTTCGGTTAGCGTCAGCCTTGGTTTTGGTATTAGTGAACACTAAAACCCCCTTTTTTACAGGGTTTTTAGGACATGCTTTTCTTGACTGTTTTTACATTTGAGAAACTTTTTAGTCATTTGTCAGTTCATAGAACATTTAAGCATGGCGGAAATGCCTTGATACATCTATCTTTATACAGAATAATTTTTTGATGCTTCGTCAACATAGAAATTGTCTGAAAAGGTTATTTAAAAAACCCTGAAATATTGAATATATACCAATAATTTCATCGGTAATGATATTTTGGTTTAGATCCAACAAAACTAATAAACAAAAAAATTACAAGAAAGTCATAATTCATAACTTGATAGTATCAAATCATGAAAAATTGGATTCCATATTAAATCATCTGAAAGTTCATTTTAAAATAGTTCCCTGGAAACTAATAATGTAGTTGTGTAAAATATTTACACAACTGCAAAATACAAAAACTATTTTACTAACTTTTAAAACTATTTTTTTGTACTGCAAAATATTTTATTTTTTTGAATTTGGGATTTTTTTACCACTTTATGTACTGGTTTATAACTTGATTTACTTATTTTTCAGTTCATTTTACATAATGAAAACTAAATTTTAGTACTCAATTAATGTAATCAATTATTGTATTGAGGGTTTGATATTTTTAGGAAACTGTTTTAGCTCTAACCCAAAAATGACACATTTATAAAACTCTTTGCAACTTCTCCTTTACTTTACATTGAGAGTTGGCACACTTCTACATGAATCACCCTGTATATTTTGATTTGACAGGTTCCCAGATGGTTTCAAACTGTGTATTCTGTGCAGGAGGCAGTTATCATTTCTCTTACGTAATACCAAGGAGGTTCACATCATTTACGAGTTCATACAGTGTGGAATATCTTGTCAAACCTTGGGAATAGGAGACAACTATGCTGATAAGATGTTTAAGTTTATATAGGATATTTGAGTAAACATCGGAAGATAATATTGTTAAATGTTTTAGTCAGTCTTGATAGGACGTTTGAATCTATAATGGTAAGATGTTGATGTCAGTACATACTGTTCAGTTTTTCAGTAAATATTTGATTTTTCAATCAAATCACTGTTTGATTCAATATTAGAGAGAGGTTTGATTTAAAACTATTCAAAATTTGAGGTTTTATATATGATGACTTGACCAAGGTGATTGAATCAACATTAATCATTTATTGGTATTGATTTTGGGGAAATGTTTGATTTACATTGTAAAAATATATTTGTTAGAGGTCATAGCTTAGTTAGAAGGTTTTTAAAAGTTGTATTTATAAATTACCTGGTGTGCTGACTATCCACCATGTTTCCATGAAGAAGGCAATCACGTAAGCAACCTGGAATCAACCAACGTAATAAAAATATATTAAATATTGCATTTAACCATTATTAAGTTATGTTACATTTATTTAACAAGTGCAATGAAAGATAAAAGAAGTACGAAGGGCTTTCTAAAATAAAGTACTGTAATATGAGTAGGCGTATCTTGCTCGGAAAGAAACTCTCTATGATAATAATAACACTAGGCGCAAAATATTACTTATCTAAAAGAATAAAATGTTGTACTATAACGGGATTTTCTCAATGTCATAATGTATGCTTTTTGTAGCATATTTGTAAAGTATTTTCAAAACTGTCTTATTATTTAAACGAGTCCTAACTTTTTTATTCCTGATTTTTCTGACTCCCTTAGACACACTTTGTTATACACTGGAGCATTTGCTAGAAAGTAAAATAAGGACACTCCGCGTGACTTGATTAAACATGAAATTATTATCAATATATAATCCATAACAAATGGTCAGTTTATATTTGTGGTTAAAGAAGCTCCAATCCATTATATTCTACCCTTACTTTGAATACCTATCCAGGTTAAATATGCAATGTTAATGATAAACTCAAATACCAACCAAATCAATTTGTAAGCATAATAATTATGAATAAATTAAATAAATAATATCTACATTTTGATGAATCGGTTCAATTACACTAAATATGTATTTTAATTTGATTGTGTCAGCATACTTGCTATTTCAAGAATCCATGTACCCGTTTGAAATGTGTTTAATTCAATAAACCGATTTCTTGAGTTTACATAACTCTTGCATTTTTTATAATTACTCCTAGTAGGTTAGACTTTGCTCATAGGTAAATTTGGACCTCATCCGTCTTAATTTTTAACCCTACAAAAATATAAAATAACCCCTAGCTTTCAAACACAAAACACTCTACTCAAAATGCAATTGATGTTAACTTTCAGAGAAACCTAGAAACCATCCAGAAGGTTTCGCAGATCCACAGATGGACTTTCGTCACGGACAATTGCAGTTTTGTCTCTAGAAGAAAGTGTTTAACATGTTTGGGTTGTGCGGGATACAGGTATGTCCAGTACGACGGCGGTGCTCTGAGCAAGTCCACTTTCTCTTGATGACGTAATTCCTCAGCTGTGGAGGATTGTAGCTACATGACCCGGGCCGCTGCGTCCACGCTTGCGTACAACGCGCCGACTCGAAAGAAGTAGTGGGTCCCGAAGAATCTAGATGGATTGAAATATTACACACGATACACTTTCGCAATCAATCAATGAAACTACTAGTTTCATGTTATCTGAGAGACCTAAAAAAATACCTAAGAGATCTAAGATTTAGTTCAATGTTATCTAAGAGAATATTGTTGATGTTTTCGATAACAATTAGTAGTAAACACAGATTTTACGACATTTCGGAATTTGGAACCCGACCCCATCGTCAGGTGAAAATGTATTAACATTACAAGACTAGTAAACAAACCCACCCAAAACCGGGAAACCTAAATAACTATTCGCAAAATTGCAGTAGTCAAACACTAACAAAAACAAAATCTCTAAATAAAACAATAAGACAGTAGAATTATCGTAAAATTATATGCATAACAGTAGTGGTATGACAGTAGTTAATTTCATTATGTGAAAACACGGATTTGAATAGTGTCGTATTTTGTTCAGTCCGACCAAGTTACCAGCTGCAATTTGAAATGCCTAAATGTTGTTTGTCAGAAAATCAAGTTAACACCTTGTGATATTGATAGACAAACTATTGTAATTTGACTTACAAGTGCAGTTCAAACGCAAGTTATAAGGCTGCTGTTACTTCCAAAATAGTAGCTATGTATTATCAAAATTAAGCATGGAGAGATGTACTAATCAAATGAAATTTTAGAGCAACAACTGTTTTTTCGATGTAACAGTAGTTGAAAAGAGTTACATGATTCACAATCACTTAATACATTTCTTGTTTAGTGTTTCACGGGTTTTTGCAGTTAGTACATGAAGGTTTAATATGATTTTTTTTATTATACTGTACCTACTTCATCAAATACTCTTCGATATCCACCCTTACAATGCAAACACTTACAATATGGTTAATGGTCTTAAAAATGTGGAAGAAAAAAAATGACGATTAATATCACACTGGTTGCCATCAGCCTAATCGAGGACTGAGATAATCCGATTTTTGGTCATAACAACATTAAACATTTAGAATATAACGGCGTAACAGAGTTTAGAATTCCGTTACACAAGAAAACACCATAATTCTACATAATATTAATCTACCGTTTTATGGTAGTTGACTACTGTGATATTGTTTTTTTCTATTTCTTGCCATTTCTAAGAGGAAAAATATGATGGTATTTTTGTCTGGAGATTTCACTTTGCAACGAAAATAGATTAAACTACTTACGGTTAATATATTTACTCAGGCTCTATGTAACTTAAATCGGGATATTTGGTCGCTTGATAACATCAAGCATATTTTGTTTTTGATTAGACAAAAACTTGTTAAGAATTGGAGGTAAGAGTTAAATCCAATGCTATAACATTCCAAACCTTGATTGAAACTGTCATCAAATCGTCATTTATACATTTAATGAAAACTGTGAGTGAGCTTCTTCAACCCACCATCTTTTAAACCGATCGGTGCTGTAAAGATTTTCTACAAATAATTCATCACCAAACAATTTTAAATTATAACAGAGCCAAATGGTTTTTGTCTCATTGCACCGATTCGGTATTGTGCACATAACAAACTGCCGTCTTCTACAAACGAGGCGATTTAATCATGAAAACCTGACATTTATTAAATAACTCATTGACACAGGTCTAGTGAACTTTGGGCAAAATGTCGACATCGCCTTGAGGCTGAATGTCACAGGAACGAAACCCTGGCGAAACATCGTGATCGCATGCGTACAAGAATGGCCTTTCCACGAACCAGCTGACCTACCCGAATCTACGTGCGTTATTTTTCTATTTATTTAGCAATAGGCTTTGGTAATAATTTGTTTTCTGCCACAATGAAGATAAAAAATTGTGTAAAACGATGTAAAAAACGGAGAAGGAGGTCCTACTATCCTACAGACCAGGTCGTCAACTTGTGTAGCTGATAATGTAATAGAAGATGTCTTGGACCCTAATTAGGGTTAGACGTTTGATTTTATATTACTTAGCTGTTTATGAAACGAAAGTTTTGAATCCTTACATAATTTATTTAAACAGTTTTTAAAGTATTTAATGACAATTTTATCTTGCCAAGATTTGTAGAAACAAAATGGTGATATATCAAAAGTGTTCACAATTTTATTCGTATATAAATTATTTTCTGAAATTGATTATCTGATTTTTACGGCGTCGCACTTTTGGAACTTGCCGTTGGACAGCTGTATGATTAAAAACATTGCCATAAAAGCACAAATTGTGTAATAGTGGTGTAAAGTCAGAAAACGCTACAGGAGACCAAATCTCAAGTAATCTCCTGCTAATTCACAAGGTCTTCATCCCAAACTTACCTCCGAAGTTTGAAATCTCAGGTGATGCAAGTGAAATGATTTTCCAGCGGATATTTCACATGCCAAAGTGAAAGTGGAGCAAGAATACAGCAGCATATTAGCGCCGTTTACCGCGCGTGTGGCGTGTTAAGTTAGTGAAAGACTTAACTGCATCTTTCCGCTCTATAAGGCTACATTAGTTAATTAAACGCAGTGCGTTAATTATTTACGTTTAGATTGAAAGTATTTGGCTAGTCGAGGTGGAACTATGTTCATAATTAAGGGAAAGTTTCACGTTTGTTTTTTTCTGCAGGTTTGCTGCGGCGGGGTTATTTTCATTACTAATTACCGATGATTTAGAAACTATATGGTTCATGGTTCTTCGATCTAAAGGAATACTATAATATTAGGTATGTTTTGAGGTGTTAGGTAAATCATATTTTTACCGCAAATAAAGTATCTGCCAGTTTGTGTTATCCTCCTAAAACTACAAAAAGTGTTTACTATCGGTTTTATAAACTCTTAATTTAATTTATTTTCACAAACCAAACATCTAAATACTTAACAATACTATAGAAAGTATTAGACTTGTTTAATGTTTATGTTAACCCGGATACCACATTTTCACGAAGTTTTCTGGTGAGGATAAAAATAACTTTTCATAGAGATTATTTAAAAACCGACTCGTTATAAAACGTTGAAACACCACGAACCCTTTAAATGGAAGTTCCACAATCGAGACCAAATAACTTATATATTTGCCCAATTATAAATCATAAAACCACTTAGTCAACTGTGTGACTCCGTATTTCTCACAGAAAATTACATAATAGAGATTCTAAGAACAATAAGAACCAAACAAATATAAATTCTAAGAAGAAACAATACAAATTCTAATAACTCTAGGATAATTCCTGGAGGAGCGCAGGGGTTTGCCACAACTGAGATACACAGTATTATAACCCACAAGGTTAAACCGACTTGACTCCTACGCGACCATTCTTGTGTCCAACAATCACTTTCTCACAAGGTCTAAACGTGCAAACGTCTACCCACAATGTGCATCTAAGTAGACTTTTACGCTTGTTCTAAAAATGTTCTAAAAATTTTTCTATTATGTTTTTTTATTCTTGGTGCAATTTTATGATTTTCTACAAAACCCATGGAATCTGTTATTAGGTCGAGTTTGGTTAGGCTATAACTGATTCATAACCTAAACCTTAGGATGGGTATTTTTGCATACAATTTATACAATGGTAGAGAATTAAGGAAAAGGCCCCTACAACTTATAGTGTTAGTTAACTGAAGGACAGGCGGAAAAGGTTTCTAAGGTTAGGATTTCCATCGGGCCCTAAAATGTGTCTGTAAAAGTACAACTAGATAGATATATATATTGTACATGAAGAATATCTCATAAAATTACAAAATGGTGCAAACATTTTGCATCTCAAAGATATAAGGGTGAAAATATTTGGTGGGTCGATTTTCGATTGCAGTAGGGAGCGAAACGAATTATAAAACCAAGTCAACAATGTTGTCGGGTTCCCGGTGTTGCAATTTAAAAATACGAACATTTTCATTATTTTACTGTAGACCTACCTGCTTATCCCTATGGCGCTCCTTATATTCCTAACACAGGCCTTCAAGGTCCATGGGGACTGGCGAATTCAAGGTTAAAAGAGATCACCAACCCTTTTAACAAAACGAAAGAGTACCGTAATAGTAAAGAAGTGATCACAAGACAACATAAAAGAGGAGAATTGATGGGAATCATTCAATAGTAGTAGTGAACGTTTTACTTGTGTTTACAGATAAGGTCGGGTTTATTTCATCGCTGATTATACAATATAATTAGTAAGTGTTCTGCTCCCCTCCAAAAAAAGAAGAGGGATGGTTAATTTATTTGTTCATTAGAAGAACTGGAGAGTCTAAACACTGCCCGATTTTGCTTCTCGATATTTAATTTTTTAATCTTTTGATTTTTTTCAAGTTTTTGAATGGTCGTTTCAAAATACACGCACAACACTCCTAGGTAGTAAAATATGGAAAATATGTTTTTCCTACAGTTACCTAACAATGTACATGTTCTCTCACTGATTTGAGAAAGCAAAGTGGCCAATTCGCTCATCAGTGAGACAATGTTAACATTGTCTCACTCTAATTACTTTGTCTCACTCCAGATTTGCAGCGTGAACGCACGAAATAGTGAGCGCGTAACGTGCAGACAAGGTTGTATGCGCGCGAAATACGTTGGCAGCACTGGCTGTAAATCAGCTGGTCAGCTGTTGTACTGTTGTATTTGTCACTTCACATTAAATTTTATATTTAAAGTCACTTCTGTGTAAAAATATGTTACGTTTCTTCATCAATTTATTTGTTTTATGGTAACTGTAGGAAAAATATAATGTGCAACTCGAGTGCAAAGTACAATTGCCTCACTCGAGAAACCATTCCTCACTCGCCTACGGCTCGTGAGTAAGGATTTCTCTCGAGTGAGTCAATTGCTCACTTTGCTCACTAGTTGCACAAATAACTATAGAGCAACCGTTTTATCAATGATACATTGTGTGTGTGTGAAATATTGGTAAAATTGATTGTAGTTGAAAATCGAGAGGTTATTGACCTTAAAATAAGCATTTACTGCATGAATAATAAATGCCTTTGTTGTACCTGATGAGATTTCTTTCATCAAATCTGACAAAAGGCCAAATAATTACTCATTAATTTCAATAAAGCCCACATGCTGACAGTAAACGAAACCTAGAATGATATTCTTCATTACACGTTTATTATATTTGCAATAGCTAATTTGTATCAAATGTCTAATTCTTTGCTAAATGTATGGATGTAAAAATTCAAAATACCTACTATCGTCTTATGGTATGATATTATTGGTATAATTATGCGGATGGAATTCTGAAACTACTCGCCCTACTATACTTACTGTTGTCTCTAAACGATGGTAAATGCATTTACAAAATATGTAAATTATTGGATACTGATTAACCAGTCCCACCGGTTTACTGTCATCCTAAATCTGAGAATTAATTTAAAATCCGTAGTGTAGCTTACAATGTCTGACAAAAAATACATGTTGTATGGTGGTGAATCTACATTAATTGATTTCAGAATATTTACAGTTATAATTTAGCACATTTAACTGGATGAAAATGGGTGGTGAAACGCATACGGATACTCGCCTTTGGCTCGGTGAGGGCTCTGCCCCCAGGCTCCTCTTTATTTTAGCCATAGAAAAAAAATCCTACTGGGGACAGGATTATGTCAGGGAATTTTTGTCTACGTTAAAAACCAATCATAACTTAGCAGTAGCAAAGTATTTCATAGACTCATAGAGGGTTTGTTATGGGGGATAACAAACAGGTCTTGACATGCTACAGTCTCGATGTGGGTTGGTGCTCCAATGATTGAAGTTAGCTAGGGCATTAACTGTAAAACTAACTTTAGTTTAATTAGTAGAACAATAAAGGTACAATCTTTGAAGAAAGGGGGAGTTAACAATATATGTTAGTCTTAGGCCCCCTTATGACGGTGTTAACATTGCAGCAACACATCCTAACATTGAAGCTTGTAGCTGAAAACATTGTGAGATGATTAACAAAATTTGACTAATAAGGTTGATATACCCTTTTTATTCTAGAGTAAACCATTTCAGCTTTATTTGAAACATTTACATAAAACGATACTAATTATTTGGGCTGTCATAAAGGAAAAGCACATTTACATATTTGTATGTTAGACGTTTTTTATAACAACTACAGGGATGAGTGACAATTCGTTTTTTGTGTACTTCAGGTAACAACTTATCGTATTACTTTTCATAAAGGGACTGGTAAACAAAAGGCTGGTATTGAGGTACTTCTGTCAGCGTACTATGGCATAGTATTTCCATATCTATCATATGCGTTATCTGACTGGGGAAGTGAAAACCAAAGGACTCTGCTAATGTTTCGTCTCCAAAAGAAGGCTCTAAGAGTAATCTTCTCCATCAGAAAAAAAAAACAATCTTGCAGGGAAATCTTTAGGCAGTATAAAATTCAAACATTTACTTCTTTGTACATTTTATTTCTTCTTGTCACCAGTGTTCTCTTCCAAACACTAACAACATTCCCATCCCCAAACACTCCACTTCATTCTTCCAACATCATTTTCAGTAAGCCTACAACGCTACAAAGCTGTACAATAGCCTTCCTCTGGGGTTGAAGACCGAGCAGGATCAGCAGACTTTCAAAAGAGCAGTTTATAAGAGACTGCTCTTGAATGGGGTTTACTACAGCGTCCGGGATTTTTTGGCTGGTAGTCATAACTGCTTGTAAATAGTTTAAAAATGTACTATATAACAAGTTTTGTATTTTAGTTTATTTTGACATGGCTAACGCTGATTGTATTTGGTTAATTTGGCTAAATAAATGACTTAAGACTTATGACGAGTTTCGAGGATATAAATCCCGCGCTATCGATAGACCAAAAGATCACTGTGAAGTAAGAGTTCATTGTTATCACCGATGAATGAGACTTAGCTAACAAAGAGTAGACAGTTACACAAACAAGTTTTATCAACAAGATACACGAATGTAAACAAATCTCGAGTTCCTTCAGGACAAAACTCACAAGGTGGAAATCTACATCGTGGTAAGATATTTCTTGCCAGGTTTTCCAAAGGTACCTCAGACTCAGACGACAAACATAACATTCTCTAAATATCTTACAAACTACCAACATTAGTAGAAGTAAACAGTCTTAACGATATGTTTATATTTTATTATCAAACCTTCTGTGAATACAACGATCTTAAGCACCATCAGACGTGTCGAGTGTGGATATCTAGGAATCAAACAAACTCTGGATTGGACAAGACTTTGTGCCTTCTACCACAGAAAACATACTAATATAGGCTGTTACCCTCGTATAACGGGGGATTTATTCACCAAGACACATTTCGGTACAACTGTAGTACCAGGAGGCACAATACAAATATGACTTATCCGTCCAAGAGGGAGTCGTCAGCTACACTGAAAACAATGGGGTACGATATTTTCATATTATAGTCAATACTTCCACTCTTAAAGTAAATGTTCCTTCCTTGTATCTAGTCATATACATTCTATGATATATATATACTATACAGGGTGTTTTTAACGCGACCCAAATAATTACAGCTGTCGTTGGACACGTTTTAAGAACAAAACCACCTCATACAATCGCATCCTTGTTTATTTTACGTCATTGCTGATCAGCTGATCTGCATTGTTGCATAGTCATCCACGAGGTTTGGTGCTGTTGATAATTTCTTGTAAATAAGACTCGACGTGTTTTTTTGTGAGATTAAATAGAGCTTGCGAAAATGCCAAGTTGGGAGACTATATACATCGATGGTTGAGTAGTTCTTTACATCGTTGGTTGAGACTTATTCACATTAAATTCACAGGAACGCTAAAACTCATAGACAAATGCAACAATGCATATCAGCTGATCGGCAGAGAAGTAAAGAAATACAATGTTACCAAAATGTGAGCTTGTTTTGTCGTTAAATTTGTCCAATGAATGAGACATTTTGTCATTTGGGTTTGGGTTGGGGGGGGGGGAGAAAAACACTCTGTCCTTATTCATTTACATCAAGAATTGTATTAGGCTATTATTCATATTATTTTCTAAATCATGTAACCGTTGTGAGATTTCGTAGATAAATTAACACAACACAAAAGATTACGGACACGTAAATTACGGATAAAAGCTATTAAAACCGGGTAATCTCACATTACAATACAGTTCAGAAGATATTTTGGATTCTTCGATTAAATCTATATTTAAATGGCTTTCGTTGTATTTATATTCTTCAAATATTAATGCATTTATCCATAAACTGAAACAATATCTCGTTGTTGGAACTAGGCTACACAGAATTAAATAGTAAACCCACTAGTCAAATCCTACACAGTTCGAGAAGCCAGGAGTCAACCCTGACAAACCCCCAATCTTAGGATTGTGTCAAAGACTTCACTAAAAAGTAAGATACTACATTGAAAGCTTAACAAATACTTTGGAAAGTCTAGCGCTGTCAGGGGCAGAGTCCAAGCAGCGTGTCCCTGCCCCAGGCTTATCACTTATCTCTTATCACTTACCAAGGTGTACACTCCGATCACCGAGGCGGCCACGGAGAGGCTGCAGAAGAAGCAGTCTTGCAGGAGTGCCATGTCATGTCATCAGTCGCTATGTGTCACACTCACTACTGGAGTCCCTCAAGGGCTCCATAACCGGGTCTTGCGATGTGAACACACCTAACACAACACCTGTACTGTTTACCGCCACCGCCACCGCTGGCACCGCTCCCTCCATCTCCACTCCCACCACCGTGTTGCCTCATCGGTTACTTGCGTTGTTACGTTCACTGCCAACGCGCAGACTCCCAAACCACGCATGCTTGATACTCGATACTCTGGTAGATCAATGGTAACGCACATGGACATGGTTGGTTAGATGTGCTGGACCCATTCATTCTGGGTACCCAATGAGCATAAGATATTTCTAGTATAACAGGACTTGTAATATCCCATACAAGTTCCAGTATAACACCCAATAGGGATATCACTGGTATATACCATACCAATATTCTGTCAAGTTTATCCTTAGGTATATACCCTTGGGTTTTGTGCTGTGTGGGCAGTAGGGTTAATTCTATAGGTTATTTTTTAATTTATTTTATATTTTAGCATCCTGATTACGTTGAATGGTTGGTTTAAACTACCCTCTGCCTGTTCCTGCGCGATCCAATATTGTCGATTATTGTACTGCAGCTAGTTTTGATTTTTTTTAAGTCGTGTTAGGTTTGAAGGATGTCACAATCGATTAATCAGTTCATTGTATTACATTACAGAATCTAACCAACTGACTTTTGATTGGTAGGCTGGTTGGCTGGTACCTTAACTATAGCTAACCAGCTAGTTAACCGATATCGATTATATTGACGAAAACACTTTGTTACCTGAGAACAACTATGTTTACCACTCTCTTCCAGCGGATCACTGGCTTGGGCATATAAGGTGCTAAAGTTCCAGTTGCGCTGTGTGTCACCTTTGACTATGCCACGCACGCCTACTCACTTCCTGAACGTCGTACTGTGCCCGCATCAGCAAACCTACACCCGTGCCGGTACAGTTAGAGATTATATTGACGTGAGCTTCGTCAGTTATGTGGGGTCCCATAGCTTCGATTCGTTTAACCCATAACCCCGATGCAGAGTTTTAATAGCTCAGAAAATATTCATTTTGCAAAATTTGAATACTTTCGGTCTTATTGAGTGGGTTTTTTATTATTCTATCGGAGCTCTGAAACATTTTAAATACACCTGTTGCAGCAAACCTGCAGAATAAGCGAATTTTCGATTCCTGGTTGGATTTCCACTAAAATATATCCTTAAAATGTCAGATTTATTCCATATTAAAATAACATTAGGTTTAGTGAGTACCTACTTAGGATTGCTGCTGCTATAGGGAAAGTTATAAAGTGTGTTTTAGCATAGATTAAACATGGTTTTAGTGAAACGTTGATAGCTCAGTATAAAATAAATAAGTTTGTCATATTTGAACATTATATAATATGTAAACGAGCAAACTACAACAGTTTACTTCTAAGAATAAAATGAGGGTTTAAAATTTTAAGGATTTTAGGAGTTTCTCCGTTATCAGATTATTTGGTATGTTAAGCTATTCAAAATGGTTTCTATTATTTGATGTATATTGTCCTTAGCTTCTATGAATGAAGTCCCCTTCTTCACCAAAGTTATTAATATATGCGGTTTTGTAGCGTCTTTTGTGTTTATAATTGTGTGATTTGTTCGTTCGTTGTATCAATTGATAGGCTATATAATAATGAATAAACATTACTTTGCCGATATTACAGAATGCATTATATCGGACATCAAGAGTGTTGAATCCTTTCGCAACGATGAATAACAATATATACAATCGAATCTTATAACAATCGAAAAGATAAGAAAACCATTTTAGGAGCTAATTTATCAAGGTAAAAATACAAGAAATCTACGTTTTTCGGATTATTAAGCTGAACGGTTCAGTATGACGAAAATACAGTTTATTACACGGGAAAAGGGTATCTTTTTGACCTTGCTCATTTTTCGCCTTCACCTCCAGTTGTTGAGCTTGAGATTTGGACATCAATTGACTTACTATTTAATCACGAAGGCCCAAAGTGACTCTTATTGGTTCTCGCACATAATTACTATTCCCTACTCATTTTAAGCAGTAAACCCACTAGTCCGACGCTTTTCGATCCGATCCGATCCGACTAGTCTTCGACCGTGCCCAATGCCTTCCGCACTTTTTAAGGCATTAAGCCATTGTTTCGAAGGGCTCTGTCAGTAACCGACGAGAAATCAGATGTTTCAGTTTTTTTTTTTGTTTTTTTTTTGTAAATTTTGGCTGCTGGAGTAATAAAAGAGGTCGTTATTTGTCCATCCGATGGCACTTTATTCGCATATTCTTTTTCTATATAGTTGGTCCACAATTTAAGAACTAATCACCACTCGAATCCATAGAACTTGCATCTTTGAAAGCATCAGAATCTGTCCAGGCTGATTTTATAACCTACTGTGTAAAGAAAATGATACTCCCAAACTGCTTAAATCAAAGGTTCGTCTACACTCATGTTACACACGAAGCTAGACAGTGACTAATCTAGGCCTGATGCACGCAGAGTGGAGAACGATCGGATCCGACGTCCGACAACAATGCCCCAGAGAGAAATGTCGTCGGAAGGTGTCGGAATCGGAACTGGTCGGATCGGAGAGCATCGGACTAGTGGGTTTCCTGCTTTACAGCTCCTTTCACATTATCCGATTTTGCTCGTACGATTAAAAATCTGATTTGTAGTCGACCATTTTTAAGGCCCATTTCACATTACGTGATTACCAATCATGTCCAATTTTTACTCGGTTAGCACCCGGATGGTGTCACTGCAGGTGTCCAACTCCCGGACGAGTAAAAATCGTGTTTACCATGTGACCAAATGACCCCTTTCACACTACCCGATTGTTAGTCGTCTGGAAACCCTTCCCGAGTGCAACAACCCCACGAACATCTGCCCGTTCGATTAACAATCGGACGAGTTAAATCGGATAGTGTGAAAGGGGCGTATGCGTGAACGATGCCCTAAGGATGGATACTGAAATGTCTCCGAAACGTCGTCATGTAACATCGACTTGACAAAACGGTGCAACCAAGTTACACATCCAAATTCTTTATTTGAATTAAATTGTAATCATTTATAAAAACCATTCATATAATTGATGGGAATACGAGAAAAGAGCTCACTTAGAGAAGATTTAGAGAGTAGAGAGTAGACTGATCAAGATGAGAGACATGTCTGTCCCACCTTAAACTTTCCTCGTGCTTTCGTCACCGACTAACGATTGACTAAATGAGTTTACTGAATCCTCTGGGTAAACTCTTGGAATTTTAACAGTTTTGGCGTGAAGTTTTGACAGAAAAAATAAGTGGATAACATCGTCCAACCATGTAAAAAGAATCTTATATTCAATAAAATGTTAAAATACGTGCTTTTACATACGTGTGTAACCATTGAAATAATTTAGATTGTGTGTGTGTTCATGAACAGGATTTGTTGAATGATTGTGGTCCAATTTGATTAAATTTGCCATGAATGTTTAGGGCTGAACAAACTTTCACGAGATCGCGAACGAGCATGATCGGACAATGGGATTAGGATGGTGTAAAAATGTGGTTTTCCTTCTTTTGTACTAAACATATACAATTTTGCAATTTTTTATAATTTCGTAGAGCAACAAGTTAATTTAGTACTTATATTGAAGCGTTTGTATGGTTATAAAGAAAATTAAAAAAATATTACATTCAAAATTGCTGCTATTCTAATGGAGAATGCGTTATGAATATATTTTGATTAAACTTCGCAAGTTCGTGTCATAATAAATCAATCATTGCAAACGGTTTCCTTCCCATTAAAATTCGTCAACCCTAATACAGTACGTTCTTTTAAATGGAAAATTATTCTTATATTTTAGAAAAAATCTCCAATGAAATTCCAATCAGATAAAGGAAATTCGTTTAGTCTGCAGGTAAATGGGGCGGGGATATATTTTTTTAATTCTAGGTGAGGAAGAAATCCAGTTTTGTTTGTGGTACATAACATGTTCGTGTGGATATTTTGATCTATAGAAATATATTTCAGTGTTTTATATTGTTTGGGAACGTTTTGCTGGAACGTTTCATTGACTAATGGTTGTGAGTAGTGTAGTTGGCACTTCACTCAGCAATGGCACAGCTTGATGAGTTGGTTTTGAGTAAGCTTTGTAGTTTGCGCTGCGTTACTTAACTCAAACTCTTACAGAATACGTTGAGGAAGATTCGCACAACAGAACGTTACAATTTATAATATACTTCAGCAATAATACACAGTAGTTTCAAATAAATCTGAGAATATATGTTTAGAAATTTATTGACAATTCTGAAAACAGGAAAATAAGTTAAACCCAACCCACAGTTTAAAAAAATCATTAAACACTCTAAACTCTTGTTTGGATTTGTAAAGAATTTGGCATGTTTTGGATTTTACGAAATTTCTTGAGCGTAAAAAACAACTTCTTCGTTAAAGAAACTACCGAGAAATAGCTGGATTTTGTAGCTATTTATACAAAGCTCAAGCTTCGTTCGGCCATCTACAGTTCTCGAGCGGCAATACTGTTTGTGCTCAAAATACACACAAGATTTTCCTACCACCATAATCAGCTTATAATAACACAGAGATTATCTTTCTAGATGTATATGAAATGTAATTTACGTTATGTTTGCTATTTTGGGATACATTATTTGCTTTGTTAACTATTTGATTTGCTCTAGAGCGACAATAGGTTATTCTGCGTACTGGTTACCGCTGTGGCAATGTTATAATTTCCATGCAGTTGTAGGAAATAGTTATTTGTGCAACTAGTGAGCAAAGTGAGCAATTGCTGATGTACAGCCAGTGCTGCCAACGTATTTTGCGCGCACACGACCTTGTCTGCATGTTACGTTCTCACTATTTCTTGCCTTCACGTTGCAAATCTGGAGTGAGACAAAGTAATTAGAGTGAGACAATGTTAAAATTTTCTCACTGATGAGTGAATTGGCCTCTTTGCTTTCTCAAATCAGTGAGAGAACATGTACATTGTTAGGTAACTGTAGCAAAAGGTTATTTACTAAATAATTTGCAACATTGTTTGGAAAATGGTTAAATGGAAATGAATG